AATCCATCACCTCCCACTTGGCAGTTGTGTGGAATGTCCTGTATTTAACGTTGTCCTGACAGTCAAAGACATCTTTTCTGTTCGCCTTCTCTGATCCTAACTTCCTGGGATTCTTTGACCTATGTTTGTTAAACAAAGGAGCTGTAGAGAGCAGGGGGTGGGGGGCAACCCCAGTGGAGGTGGGGAGAAGTAGGGTGTTTGTCCCTCAGCGGAGGTGTGTGCCAGTACCAGAGACTGGCAGGCTTCTAGAACTGTATAGGCAACTGGGGTCATTTTCACTCATCCTGGTTGAAATCTTCAGGCTCAGGCCTTCTACAGGTGCTGCTTGAAACCTGACCCCTTCCTCCTGAGGGCCTGAGAGCTCTTAACCTGCTCTGTGTTGACATCAACACCAGTAAGCTGGAGTTCCCAGCTGCCATCTCGAACTTGAGCATAAGAAGCTGCTTTTATTTTATTTTTTAAATTTTAATTTATGAAGTACCATTGTTTTACATCTTTGTTAATATTTTGGCAACATAAGATTTCTCCTCTAAGGCTCTATACCTGAAATCTACATATAATATTTTAAGTCAATGATCCTTCAATTAAAAAAATTAAATTAAAAAATTTTTAGGTCTTTGATTCAATTGACAATGAGACTGGGGCATAGGCCAGTGAGAGGTCTGCCACACCATGTCGGTCACCTTCGGGGCAGGCAGGGATCAAATGCATGCTGAAGAGGCCTCAGCTAGCTTTGTAGTGATAACCCTTTGTGCCATTAGGGCCTGACAGTGAGACTTTTGACCAGGCTGGTGACTGAAAAATTTCCCCCCTTTGTTAGTTACAATGAGAGGTCAACATAAAACAACATGAAATAAATCAGTGTTTATTGAAACATTAAAACAGTGATGAAATTTTAAAAAAATGTTGAAACTAACTTAAAAGTGCCCATAATTTCATCTTAATACAGTACTCGCTTTTGTGCCTATTACTTATACGCACAAATGGTTTATAGTTGTTTACCAGGTTCAGCTTTCACTATCTTCATTATAGAACAAAGCAAAACCAACCCCAACCCCAACACTGCAAGGAGTTATGGGTGTTGAAGCCCCCCTAGAGAATTTCAGCCATTCTAGATGTACTGGAGTCTCCCTTGGGTGCTATTCTTGGGGTTCTAAGCCCCTGAGGCAGTTTTTGCCAGTTGTTATGAATTTGGGCTTTAGATTCAAATTCTGGCTCTGTCCCTTACTGGCTATTGGCTTGGGGACCATGACAGTGCCCACCTTGTGGCATGACTTAGGGGCCTCCCTGGTGGCGAGGGGTTAAAGTTGCGACACTATCAAGTGGCCAGCAGCAGCCACTGTGGCACAAGTTCAATCCCCTGCCTGGGAGGTGACGCACATGGCACAGCAGACCTCTCCTGTCTCGCCCGCTGCTCCCCTCTGCAGTATATTTCAGTGGATTCACTGTTCTGCTGTTTCTGGTGAATCCTCTCAACTGCGACCCCCTTCCCCAACACACACCCCAGTTCTTGTATATATAAATCAATAAATAATAAATCTTTTTTTTTTTAAAGATTTATTTATTTGTGCATACAGAACTGGGGTACAGGCCAGAGGCTTAGGGGCGGTGAGAGGCTTCACCAGAGACAGAGTGGGGAGCAGAACAGGCAGAATGACAAAGTACACTGCTGAGGGAAGCAGCGGGCGGGTCAGGAGAGGTCTGGCTCGCCATATGGTCTTCTCCGGGCCAGGCGGCAGGCGGGAATCGAACTCATGCGGAAGTGGCTTCAGATTCTCAGTGCTGTGCTTTAACCCGCTGCGCCACCAGGGAGGGCCAATAATAAATCTTTTTAAAAAATAATAAAGTGGGCCCTCCCTGGTGGCGCAACGGGTTAAAGTGTAGAACTAAAAAAGCTAAAGCCACTTCCGCTTGAGTTCTATACCTGCCCCGTAGGTGACCCACATGGCGCGGCAGACCTCTCCTATCTTACCCACTGCTCCCCTCAGCAGTGTACTTCATCAGTCCGCCTGTTCTGCTCTCCAATTTGTCTCTGGTGAATCCTCTCATCATCCTTGCACCTCTGGCCTGTACCCAGTTCTGTTTGCATAAATAAATAAATCTTTAAAAAAAAAAAGTGGTGAAACTTAGCAACCAGAGTCAGAAGGAATCAATGGTTGTTGGCTGAGGGTAAAATAAAGTGCTTTTGTTATTCTAGGAACTCATTCTCCTGAGAGAAGCCAGTTCATGTTGCATTCAATTTTCGTTACCTGGTAAATGTATCAGCACAATGAGGGTGTAGAAAACTCTAACTGATCTGAACAACCCACAAAGTCGGGGTCAGAATTTCCGACGAGTCTGTGATAACCTGCTTCCCGGCATCCCCCATTTACCCTTTTCCTATGGACCATAGAAGCAATTTAAAACCAGCTGGCATCTGTGATCCAGCCATGCAAGGGAATTTGGCAGTGGGTTCTTGGATCTAACACCAAAAAAATACACACAGTGAAAGAAACAAAATAGCTCATTGTACTTCATTAAAATTAAAAATCTGGAGCCCTCCCTGGTGGCACGGTGCGTTAAAGCAAAGCAGCACTAAGAGGCTAAAGCCACTTCAGCATGAGCTCGATTCCTGGCCAGGGAGGTGGCCCACATGGCGCGGCAGACCTCTCCTGACCCGCCCGCTGCTCCCCTCAGCAGTGTACTTCATCAGTCGGCCTGTTCTGCTCCCCACTCTGTCTCTGGTGAAGCCTCTCACCGCCCCTACACCTCTGGTCTGTACCCCAGTTCTGTATGCAAATAAATAAATCTTTAAAAAAAATTAAAAACCTGGCCCTCCCTGGTAGCACAGTGGAGGGCACAGCACTGGAAGTGAGCTGCAGCCGCTTCATTGTGAGTTTGATCCCTACTCCAGAGGTGATCCACATGGTGCAGCAGACCTCTCCTATCTTGCTGCTGCTCCCCTCAGCAGTGTACTTCGTCGATCAACCTGTTCTGCTCCCCGCTCTGTCTCTGGTGAACCCTCTCACCACTTCTGCACCTCTGGCTTATACCCCAGTTCTGTATGCATAAATAAATAAATCTTTTAAAAAATTTAAAAATCTTTGTCTTTCAAAAGTCACCATCAAGAAAGTGAAAAGACAACCCACAGGATAAAAGAAAATACTGACTAGATACATCTGATAGGGACTTATATCCAGAACATAAAGAACTCTTACAATTCAATAAAAAGGGCAAAAAGTCCAATTTTAAAAATGAGCCAGGGCTTGTATACTTGCAAATACTGTGGTGTTCATTATTCTTTATGTATATATAACTTATCTTCCTCTGTTGGAGGATAAGTAACTTGAAGGCAGGGCAATTTAATATGTGTCCTGCCCACCCCACTCCACAATGATTTCTGCACGGAGTAGGAGTTATGCAAAAGGCCAATTTGTACCTGAAAATGTGTTCATTGCCATTAGTCAATGTCAAATGAAAATCAAAATGGTGGATGATAGCAAGTATAGAGAACATGAAAAAATAGAAGCCTTCATAGATGATTGGCCAGAATGTAAAATGGTGTAGCTGCTTTAGAAAAGTTTGACAGCTCTTCAAAAAATTAAGCATGGGTTACCATTTGGCACAGCATGGTACATTAAGATGTGGGAGGGAGGTGGAAATATGTCCACACAAAGCCTTGTGCACAGATTCATTGCACAAGATTTCCCTATGAATTTGCCTGTTGTAGATTTCATACAATATTTATATTTTTGTGTCTTGCCTAGTTCACTTTCCCATTTCATAAAATCTTCAAAGTCTGTTGTATTGTATGTAGCATGTGTCTGCATTTCCCTGCTAGACTGGGGGAAAAAAATCTTTTTTTTAAAGATTTATTTTATTTGTATATACAGAACTGGGATACAGGCCAGAGATGCAGGGGGTGAGAGGATTGACCAGAGGTAGAGTGGGGAATAGAAGTACACTGCTGAGGGGAGCAGCGGGTGGTTCAGGAGAGGTCTGCTGTGCCATGTGGGTAACCTCCCTGCCCAGGGATCGAACTCGCACTGAGGCAGCTGCAGGGAGCTTCACAGTGCTGTGCTTTAATCCACTGTGCCACCTGGGGCAGGTGGGGGCCTGCATTTCCCTCCTTTTTGAAGCTGACAGTCCATCAACGTGTCCATCATGTGTCACACACCCTATCAGGCCAGTTTACTCTTGTGGCCAAGAAGAACTTTTGTTAAAAACACTCCCTGGGTGGAAGCAACACCAGTGTCCACTGATGGATGTGGATGGTTAAAATATGTGGTACCTCCAGTTACATGAAATCTAGAACAAGCAAATTCACAGGGACAGAAAGTAGAATTGTGGCTCCCAAGGCTTGGGGAAGGAGAGAAGGGGAGTTATTGCTTAATGGTTATAGAGTTTCTGTTTGGGTGATGAAAAGCTTTGGAAATTGTAAAGATGCTGCGCCACATTCTGAATGCATTTAATGCCCCTAAATTGTATACTTAAAAAAATGTTCACAGTGGCACCTTTTATATTATGTGCATTTTATCACAATTTAAAAAGAACCTGGGGAATTAAGTGTTGCTCTGGCCTAGCTGTAACCCGTCTGAACTGACATGGGATGAACCCCGGGTATGGGATCACCTCTGAGGAATGGTTTTCTCTGACTTGAAATGCTATTTTTATGGATTAATTTTTATTTTATGACTAACAGTGCTATTTTTGAAACAGGGCAAGGAATTGGAGAAAGATGGGGTTGGGCTTTGTGTCTGTAAGTATGCACTTCACTCGCCCACAGGCGGGAGTGTGCTCAGGACTGCTTGAAGCCGCCTGCCTGCAGGCTCCACAGAGAAGGTTTCTCTTCCCTTTTCCTCAGGGCAGTGGTCAGCAGAAGTTCCATGACTCCTGCTTTCCAGCGCAAGTGCCTTGCAGCCTGGAGGCAGAGGCAGGACCGTGCTGAGAAGCAGGAAAGCTCCGGGCCTTCTGACAACGCGTAAATCTGATGTGTTTTACCTCTTGTTTTCCCCTAACAGAAAAGGGAGATTTCATCGCCCTGGACCTTGGTGGGTCTTTCTTTCGAATTCTGCGGGTGCAAGTGAATCATGAGAAAAACCAGAATGTTTTCATGGAGTCTGAGATTTATCCCACCCCGGAGAGCATCGTGCATGGCAGCGGAAGCCAGGTGGGTCCCCCTCTCTCTTCTAAGCAGCCCCAGTGTGCCGGGCCTCAGTCCTTGGAACTCAGAGCACTGGTGTCCTGGCCCCCGGAGGGAGGTTGCTGGAAAAGTTGGCCATGGATGCGGCAGGAGGGACTCCTGGCAGAAAGATAAGCGACAGCTGGAAGAGACCCCACCTCTGGGTGAGCTGGTGGCTGGGAGTGGGCTGTTCCGGCTCTCACAGAGAGAGGTGTAAGAAGGAGGCCAAGCGGCCTTGCTAGGTGTATACATTCATTCCACCTGGTGCTGGTTCCTCAGCACAGGCTTCGCAGAGCTGGTGGGTGAAACATCCTTCTTTCAAGTCATGAGCCTCCTGGCAGGGTGTGGCATTGAACTTGTCAGGCAGCAGGAATTTGAGCTCACAGCCCCAGAGCTAATCAGAGGCTCCCTGCTACCTGACTTAATGGCCTTTGATGAATCCTTGGCACAGAAAGCAGAGGGCAGAACCTTGCTTGGGTAACCACCATCCCTTCCTCTCCCACTCTGTACCTGGGCCAACCCTCAGTCTCCCTTACCCTGCCCACCCCCGGACTGCCGCCCTGTGATGGCCGAGGGGCCTTGGGCCTGCTCAGAAGGGCTGCCCACCGCTCACGTGCCTGTCTGGCTGCAGTGAGCGGTTCCCTAGCTCACTGAAGACCCCGTGATCAGGGCTCAGGCCCGGCCATGTCAGGTTTTCAGTCATTTCTGGTCTTACAAGCCATCATCTATGGGGTGACTCTGCACCCTCTCCTTAGATGTTCTGGCATCTCCAGTCTGCAGCTGGTATTCAGTCTCCAGTCTAGCAGATGTATTCAGAGCTTGTATTCAGACCTCACCATGTTTTTTTTTAGGGAGGGTGTGTTGTCAGCAAGTTTAATGACTGGGTTTTCCTGAAAACCCATTTGTTCTGGGCTGGACTTTGAGAAGTAGGAGCCTTCTCCTCTTGACTCCACTTATTCCTAAATTAACATGGGTGGGACCTGGAGCAAAGCCTTTTCTTTGTCTGAAGGGAAGAGCTAATCCTGATTTATAACCTGCTCCTAGGGTTTGAGTTCAGAGCTTTTCAGACCTTGTCACAGTGAGCATCAAAGGTGACACTCATTAGCACAGTTGACCATTTTTTAGCCACTACCAAAATGGGCCTATCACTTATGAAGTGGCCCTGCCTGGAGATTCTCTTGCTTATTTCTTCACGGCTGGCCAACAGAAACTGGCCTGTTCATCCACTGTGCATGCAGGGTGCCAGCTGGTAGGTCCCCTCATCCTGTCCCATGCACCCCTGTGTTGCTCCTTGTTTATAGGTGGTCAGCGAGTTCAGGGCTTGGCATCCTGCTCTCCCCATCCTCCCACACTCTGTTGCCCTGGACTTGGGGTGAAGCCATCTCTGCTGCCTCCACTATCAGGGCTGCACACAACCCCATGTGCTTTGGCCTGGCCTTTGGGGAACAGGACATGTAAATTAAGGGTGCAACCCCACACCAAGGGGCGTGCTTCCTTTGTTTGTTTCCATGGTGACTTCCCTCTGAGGGCTGCCATCAGCCCCTCCTCTCTCCTGGGCTGTGTTCCCATCCTTTCAGCCCCAGATTCACTTGGTTTCCTACTGTCTTTCTCCCCCTGCAAAGAAATGATGATGGCAAGCTCTGTAGGTAATGTACAGACTTCTGTAGCACTTGTTATATCCAAGTCAGTGATCTAAGTACTTTATATAGATTAATTCATTTAATCATCACAAGAACCCTTTAGACTAGGTGTTATTATTCCCATTTTACAGAGGGGGAATAACAAGGCTCAGGTATTAAGTAATCAGCCCCGTGGGTCACATAGTTCATAAGTGATAGCCCTGGGATTTGAACCCAGGCAGCCTGGTTCCTGATGCTATAGCTTCAGCAACATGGAGTCACCCTTAGGTCAGGTTTTATCTTTGTTCATTTTATTTACTTCAACTTTTTTGATGAGGAAATGTGCGGGCTGTAGGCAAGGAGAGAGGACCAGGAGATGAGGGAGAAGGTTGGCAATTGGAAAACAGGGATGAAATGGGAAATTCTCCTTCAAAAGTTAGATGTGAGGTTAGAAATAAGTATTGGATGGTCCATTTTTCTGAGATCATGCATCAACCTATAAAATAGTCTGGTAAGCCAAGGTATCCATTTTATTTGTGAAGTAATTCAGACTCACAGATTATCAACAGTGCTGAATTCTTGGGGTTGTATGACCTCTTCTTCTGAAACTCGTGGGATTTCTTAATAGATTTCAAAACAATTTCCTTTGAAATAATACTAAACTTACAGAAAGGTTTTAAGATAAACACCAAGAGCTTCTTGATATACCCTTCATCTGAATTCCCCAGTTATTAACTCTTTCCCTAAACACACACACACACACACACACACACACATGCACACAGCATCCCAAAAGAGTCAGTGCCATTTTAAGCTTTAATAATGTTGGAGGCATAAGTGTAGCATTCTTAAAATGACCTTGTTTAGTTTGGAAAATTTTGAATAATAAATGTTTAGGTCTTATTTTGAATAATAAATGTTTAGGTTAGACAGCTTCCCCTCTTCAGTTAAGAGGGACCAAAAAGTCTGTATGGGTGTTTAAAATAATGAGTGTGTTGTTAGGAAAGAAACAATTTTTCTGTTTTTCAGACACTAATAGTTTGAGTCCAGAGGGACTGGACCATGGTGACTTCCCTCCCTGGTTGGTGACAGACACAGGTTACTTGGGGTGGGGGTAGCCTCCTGCCTCCTTGTGCAGGCTTGTCGCCCCTAGGTTGTGAGTGTTCCATAACATCTGCATTCCCTTCTTAAGAAAGCACTTTGAGGGCCCTCCCTGGTGGCTCAGTGGGTTAAAGCACAGCACTGAGAATCTAAACCCACTTCCGCATGAGTTCGATCCCCGCCTGCCCCTTAGGCGACCACATGGCGTGGCAGACCTCTCCTGACCTGCCCGCTGCTCCCCTCAGCAGTGTACTTCGTAGGATCTGCCTGTTCTGCTCCCCGCTCTGTCTCTGGTGAATTCTCTCACTCTCCGCATCTCTGGCCTGTACCCCAGCTCTGTATGAATAAATAAATAAATCTTTAAAAAAAAAAAGAAAGCACTTTGAGGCCATTGTGTTGGGCTTGGATCCAGGAGCTGGTTACAACATCACACCCAGGCGAAGCCACTTGCGTGCTCACAGATCTCCCCGCTACCTCTTGGCAACTCTGCCTCCCACTCTGTCCTCTCCAAGGGCTTCCGGGTGACGGGGAACCTCTCAACAAAGGTGATGAAGGATGTGCTGATGGCCTTAGTAATGTGTTTATATCACTAGGAAATACAGGTTGCAGGCAGCCCACCTTAGCTTCTGCAGGCACATGATCATGTGTCTTTGGTTGAAGCGATGGTCTGAGTAATGATGACTCGGGAGTGAAGTCTCCTAAAGAAAGTTGGAGAGCATAAAGCTTTTCCTTTACGCTGGTAGGAAAATCAGACTTGAGAGCTGAACCAGAGAAATCTGGGGAATGATGGAGATGGAAATAATGGCTTTGAACCCCTTCTCCAGCTTATCCTAGAAGGAAGTCTCAGGAAGATGATCTTGTCTGGGTGCACAGGCCCGTTGCTTCCTGTGACTATGTGCTTTGGCCCTATAACATGGAATTCTGAGAGCCAGAAGATCCATTGCTAATGCTAGTATGTCAATAAGGGAGATCTAGTGTTATCATTTCCATGTGAAAAAGATAAGGGAATGTGATAGAATGTGACCTGGTTGCCAAGAGAACATTTAGGTACTTGGGTTACATTAATAGAGGTATAAATCTAAGAAAAAGAGAGGTTCTTCGATCAACGGACCCTTGTATTTGGCTCGATACATATTAGAGATCGGTGTTCTGGGTTGTTTCAAGTGGGTTCTGAGATGTGTGTGCACATGCCAGGCAGTGTGTGTGCAGCAGTAAAACTTTAGTTGCAATCCCCTAGATAAATTGTGGTGTATTCACAAAATAGCGTACTATGCACAGTGAGAATGAACAGCCTACAAAGACACAACAGCATGGGTGGTGTTCATATACACAACAGAAAGACACTTGAGAGAGGGTACTGTCATTTATTGCATGGAAGCAAGCAGACAGGCCAAACCGGTTGAGAGTGTGGGAAGCCAGGGTAGCTGGCCACTGCCCTTATGGGGTCAGGAGGCAGCAGTAGTGACTGCAGGGGGTATGAGGAGGTATTAGGTGTTGGTAGTGTTGTGTGTGTGTGTGTGTGTTTTAAAGATTTATTTATTTATGCCTATGAAACTGGGGTACAGACCAGAGGTGCAGGGGCAGGGAGAGGATTCACCAGAGACAGAGTAGGGAGCAGAACAAACAGATCGACAAAGTACACTGCTGAGGGGAGCAGTGGGCAGGCCAGGAGAGGTCTGCCGCGCTATGTGGGTCATCTCCCTCCCTGGCTTGGGATCGAACTCGTGTTGTAGTGGCTGCGATAGCTCATAGTACTGTGTTTTAACCTGTTGCACCACCAGGGAGAGCCCAGTGCTGTGTTTCTTGACCTGGTAACAAGGAAATGGCTGTGAGAATCCAGTGAACAATTGCAATAACTAAGGAACGATCTGGTACTTCCAAAATACCAACAATAATGTAAGATGTTACATACTCGTCAATTTAAAAAAGAGAGAGAGGGGCGTCCCTGGTGGCACAGGGGTTAAAGTCTCAGCATTATGAAGCTATCACCAGCCACTTTAGCATGAGTTTGATCCCTAGCCAGGGAGGTGACCCACATGGCGCAACAGACCTCTCCTGTCTCACCCATTGTTCCCCTCAGCGGTGTATTTCAGTCAGTCTGCCTGTTCCCCACTCTGTCTCTGGTGAATGAGGGCCTACATCCCCATTCTTATATGCATAAATAAGTAAAAATAAGCATATTAAAAAATAGAAGCAGTGAATCTACACTTAGTACGTGTACACTTTTTTTTTTTTTTTGGCATGAGTGCTATATATCAGTAAAAAGTAAAAATACGATAGTCTGAAGAATATTAAAACACTCAGTGGGCCCACGCTGCAGAGTTGCCCATGGAGCTTCTGGAGTTACAGAGCTATGGGAAGATAGAAACAGAGAAGGTGTCAGTGAGCCAGCTACTCCCCTGGGTGGCGGATGGGGGTCACAGCTGTGCATTATGGAGGGAGGAGCTGACTTTCTAATATTTTGTACAATTTTCCCAGTACCCAGATAAAACCTGCTGGTGACCTCGGAGAGACCAGTTCTGTTTGGAGGGCTTGGGGGGCAGGCAGGCTCTTTTTAAGTGACGCTTTGGACTGTTCAGACACACTGTGATCTTGCGTGTGGGGAGGCTCTACTCTGTGTGAACGGGAGGGAATTACTGGCACCTTCCCCCGACAAGATGATCCCCTTCCTCTCTTCCTGACTGCCCTCCCGTGCTCCTGCAGCTTTTTGATCACGTTGCCGAGTGCCTGGGAGACTTCATGGAGAAGAAGAAGATCAAGGACAAGAACTTACCCGTGGGATTCACATTCTCCTTCCCGTGTCGGCAATCCAAAATAGACGAGGTGAGGACATCCTGAGGTTGGGGGGCACACGGGAGCCTCAGGGTTGGGACGCTAATGAACATTTCTGCTTCTGCCTTTTCCTTTTGTTTGTAGGCTGGCCTGTGTGTCTGGTATTATCTTAGAAGTATTTGTAGAAATGAATGTAGAGTCCTGATTTTTTTCAGTTATTTTAGCTGTATTTGGAAACAAATTATGGTGCTGGTGGCCAGCAGGTAGAGATGAGAAGGGAAACAGCAGGTGGACAATGGAGAGAGATGGAGACCATTGTCAGAGTGCACGGTGTGGCTTTACCCGGGAGCCCTCCTGGCTCTGGGGTGTCTGGTGAGAACACCGCGCCTCAGGGCCAGGGCCCCCCTCCAGAACCCCTGCCCGGGACGGGCTCCAGCTGCAGAGAGGCCTTGGGTTTCCTTGTTGATCTCCAGGTGATTCCTTATACCCAATTTGTTTGTCATTTGCTCGTTCTTTCATCTGTTCAGCAAGAATGAATTCAGCTGTACCATGTGACGACACTGTACCTCACAGCGCTGCAGGAAGCAGAATCAGTAACCTGACCTTACTTTTACCCCTTTCCTAATGGAGAGAGAAGCCTCAGCAACCAACATATAAACTCCTCACAGTAGGGACCTGATCACACTTGCCTGTTTTTATATATCAGCTACCCAGCTCTTTTCTAATGTGTTCTGATTTCACAGTTAACACACATGATCTTGAACACTCCTTGGAGTTAAATGCTTACAGATGAGGAAACAGGCTCAGAGGGGTTGAGAACCTCTCCAAGGCCACCCAGTCAGGAAGCAGCAGAGCGTGGGTTAGCTCTGGGTGGTTGGCTCCAGAGCCTGTGCTTTCTGCATGGTAGCAACACATGTACAGCATCCTCCACACTTCTGGGCAGCACCCCTGAACCCCTTTATCAGTAGGGAAGCACCTCTCCTGGGTACCAGCTTATGCTGCTGGAGCCCTTACATCTGGATGATTTTGACCTCTACGATGTCTTCCCAAAACCTTTGCAACACTTGTGTTGGTACTCAGTTTCTCTTGACTTTTGAGAACAGACTGGACAGTCACAGCCCCTGGGCGGGCCGTGTGGGACGCCCTGTCCCGCTACGAGAGGTGGGAGATGGCCTGAGACTGAAAGCAGCAGCCAAGAACTATCTTGGCATTCTGGTTCTTCTCTTGACTTGGCTCTGGCTCTCTTCCCTGGGGCCTGTGGAGGTTGAGGTGTGGCTGTACAACAGACAAGTGTGATCAGGTAGTAACAGGATTTCTGGGTTCTCTTTTTCAATGGAGTCTGCCATCAGGCAGCTTTGGACGGGTGCTACCATGGACCAGTAGGTGCTGCGTGCTGGGTGAGCTGCAGGTTTGCCCAACGGCACCTCCTGGAGAAATCCATCATGTGGGTGGGTGAACAGGAGACAGGACAGGGTCTGACTCTGCCACCCAGCGTGACCTGGAGAAAGCCACTGTCCTGTCCTTGCTCATACTCTGTTCTGTCACTCTCCTCGAGCAGCTTTTTCGGGGAAGTGGGGGCCCTGGAGACCTCCCCAGACCCTGTCCAACCTGATCTACTCTTCTTGCAGGCCATCCTGATCACCTGGACAAAGAGATTTAAAGCGAGTGGAGTGGAAGGAGCAGATGTGGTGAAGTTGCTTAACAAAGCCATCAAGAAACGAGGGGTAATTTTCTCGGGGCCCCCTGCCTTGGCCACGTGGAGGTGGGGAGCGCAGCCTGTGTTCTGAGGGACTCTGCAGGGGAAAGTGGGGGGCAGTAGAACTCGGCCTGAGGCATCCCATGGGAGGCCCTGGACACCCAGGACGGTCCAGAAGGGCAGCGGGAGTGGTGCTTGGAAGCTGCCCAAAGGAGCCAGGCCCTCCAGGAGAGGGGCGGCCTCCTCCTGACCACTGAGGCTTGGGTTCTGCAGGACCAGCCTCTGGGGTTGCAGTGAGGGCAGTTGGCACTTGGGTGTTGTGGGGTGACTTGTAGAGGGTGGTTGTCGGAGATCACGGATTATTGGGGGGCAGAACAGGCAGGGTCTCAAGGTGGGAGTAGAGATTCCTAGAAAAAGGGGAAAAAAGGGGAGTGGGCGCGAGGAAGACACAGGAGTCGGAGTTGGGTGCAAGTCTTCCTGCTGTCTTCAGCAGAAGTTTATTATATACATTTCAAGCAGGCAGAGGGATGACATTAGGGTATGAAATGAGCTGAGATCACAATCACCTTTTTTCTAAGAATAGTCTGGGATTGTTTTGACCTTCAGTTGTGATTATAACATTTTTACAATCAATCTATCAAGGTTAAAACAGGTACATAGATTCACAAAGTCTAAGACTAATATTACTATATTTACCACAGTGAAGATTAACCAAAATAAAGTCCCTTAAACCTTATCTACTACTTAACGTCTTTCATTCTTATAGAGACATTCTAGGGGGTAAAGGAAAGCAAAGGCAGGAAGAGGAAATTTTCTTGTAAATCAAATTAAGGTATAAAGTTCTTTGAAAAACTTGTTAGAACGTTTAAGTGAGTTTCCTAGTTTTCTAGGCAGTAGAAAACCTGATTAGCTCTGAATAGGCCATTTGGGTGAATTTCCATATCAAAAGAACTAGATATAAGGAAGCTTGAGTGATACTTTAGAAACTGAATAGAAGGCTGTGTGAGATAGTAGAGTGATGAGATTTGGGTTTGCCTCATGGGCAATAAGAGAGACTTTGTAATAACAGCCATTTGCTTTTATTAATCAGCCAGTTGTCAAATCACTTTTGACTTTAAGAGGAATTTCTCACCCTGGTGCTGTGCTTGCTTGTCAGGGCCAGGTAGCGCCTTACGAGGCTGAGGCAATCAGTTGTAAACTGAAGGTTGCTCAGAATATTTTGATAATTATGATTATACCAAAAAAGGGAGGTCATAACATAAGTTAGCGTGGAAAGTCTGATTTTTCAGAGCATTTCCCCTCCATCTGGACCATATCTGTCGACAGAGGTTGCATAGCTTGTGTTAGGTGGTGACTCCATAAATTAAATCCACTTGAAATGAGTCTCAAGCCAGATAGGTGAGGTGATGGTGGGGTTTCTATAACTTAGTCACTGTGCATTAACCTAGTTAAGGTGAAAGGAAAGCTGCACCTCCACTGGAGCAGCAGTGATTATGCAGAGGGGCTGGAGAGCCTCTGCTTCCACGTGTGAGTGGCAGTGACCTTGTTATTTTTGCCCAGGACTATGACGCCAACATTGTGGCAGTGGTGAATGACACCGTGGGTACCATGATGACCTGTGGCTATGATGACCATCAGTGTGAAGTCGGACTCATCATTGGTAATGTCCGCACCTCTCCGCACCCCTTTCTTCGGCCATGTTTCCAGATGGCGGTGCCTGCTCTCCTGGCCCGTGTGTTCACACCATCCATCCCTCCTGTCTCTCCCAGGCACTGGCACCAACGCTTGCTACATGGAGGAACTGAGGCACATCGACATGGTGGAAGGCGACGAGGGGAGGATGTGCATCAACACGGAGTGGGGGGCCTTTGGGGACGACGGGGCTCTGGAAGACATCCGCACCGAGTTTGACCGGGAGATCGACCGTGGGTCTCTCAACCCCGGCAAACAGCTGTGAGTCTAGTCTTTTCTTGCCACTTGTGTAGGGGACACCTAACGACAGTTTGGGGGTGGGAAGTGGAGGGGGCAGGGAGTCAGGACGTCACAAAGGAAAAAGCCCATCATTTGTCCCTGTCCCTCTTCCTTTGTATAGATGTACAACTATGGAATCGGCAATTTTTTTAAAGATTTATTTATTTATGCTTACAGAACTGGGGTACAGGCCAGAGGTGTGGTGAGAGAGAGGATTCACTAGAGACAGAGTAGGGAGCAGAACAGGCACTACTGAAATACACTGCTGAGGGGAGCAGTGGGCAGGTCAGGAGAGGTCTGCCGCACCATGTGGGTCACCTCCCTGGCCAGGGATCTAACGTGCTGCAGTGGCTTCGGAGAGCTTCATAATGCGTTGCTTTAACTCATTACGCCACCAAAGCTCTCCCTTGGGATCGGCAATTTTAAAAGCATGTTTTAGATGGTTTTCTGTGTTTAATTATTCTGTGCTTGCATCCCTGCAAAATATTTTGAAAACTAAAAGCCCAGAAATAGTAGTGTAAAGCTAGGAATGGGAAACATTTCTGCACTCTGGGGTTATTGATGTCGCTGCCCTGGGCGAGAGGCTGCAGCTTTGGGGTATCTGCTGAGCAAGAGGAGAGAGGGCCTGTGCATTCAATGCCTGTCTTTGGAGCACTGAGTGAGGAGCTCCGTGCCAGGCTTCACGGATAAAAGCAGCGCTTGCCCTGCAGGACTGGGGGAGGTCGGTCACACATGCGGGCATTTGTGAGAGGGGTGAGAGCCTCACGAGTCCTGCTGACCATAGGGAGGTGGGAGAGTGGAGAGACTTGTGTGTGAAGTGTAGGCAGATGGGTCAGACTTATAAAGAACACTGGACTTAGGGCCCAAGTTCTTTTTGCCCCTAGAGAGCTCCCTGCTGCAGCCGTGCCAGTGACATTATTCAGGTTAGCGTGGCAATTGCTTCACGCCAGCAGCTTATTTTCTCAAGTGCCTGCTCGTGTTTCTCTGTACTCAAGCATGCTGTTAGCGTCTCTGATCTATGAGCCGCTCAGCCACAGGGCCCTGGAGTTGAATGCTGCTGTCTGCCTGCTGAGAGATGTTCACCGAGCCTGTTGGCTTAACAGCCCATGGCTATATGCCAGAGAGAAATTGGAGTTTAGTTATTTTAAAACTTGTCACTCCAAAGAATCACAACCCCGGGCTGGAATATTGGGCTCTCCACCTGACTTACTGGATTACATGAAAGGCCAGCTCCCTGCTCTCCAAGTGGAGGTGGGGAGTAAACGAGCTTTCTCAGCGAGGGAGTCCAAGTTCTTAGACTCGGTGTTGAATATGCCTCTGCATCCTGAGACTGACAAAGGGACCCAGTTCCAAAGTTAGGACAATCAAAAAAGGCATTTTGTTTTGTTTTTGTTTTTGTTTGTTTGTTTTTTTTAAAGATTTATTTATTTGTACATACAGAACTGGGGTACAGGCCAGAGGTTCAGGGGCAGTGAGAAGATTCACCGGAGACAGAGAGGGGAGCAGAACAGGCAGATCGATGAAGTACACTGCTGAGGGGAGCAGCGGGCGAGCCAGGAGAGGTCTGCGGCGCCATGTGGTCATCTCCGGGGCAGGCGGGAATCGAACTCATGTGGAAGTGGCTTTAGCTTCTTAGTGCTGCGCTTTAACCCGCTGCGCCACCAGGGAGGGCCTGTTTTGTTTTGTTTTTAAAGAATAAGTTTATTAGAAAGAGACGGGAGAGAAAAAGAGGAGAGTGGCCTCCCCTGAGGGAGGTCAGTGCAGAGAAGTCCCTGCAAGATGCAGGTCACAGGCAGGCAGGAGGCTGCTTCCCTGCAGGGGGAGAGAGCGGGTGGAAAGAAGCACCTGCATCAGCACAGGTGGGCAGAGGAGCAGCTGCCAAGGTGTTTTTCACCTTTACCACTAACTTACCCCATAATGCTGAAAGGGGAGTGTTCGCTGCCTGCTTACACATTTCGCTGTATAGATCTGTAGATGTGCTCATCACAATGCTGCCTCAGGTTCCTCTCCGTGATCTGTAACATCTGGCATGTGCAATTTCATCTCTAAAATCTCCCAGTCACCGCATTCCCAAACACATGTTGCCCCTGGGCGCTCATCTAAAAGATTATGTACCTGCAGTTTCTATCAGTCACTTAATCATAAGTCACTCTTCTCAGCAGTGCAGATGGGACAGTGACCTACAGTAACTGAGCAGATAGAGCTCAGGCCTTTGTCAGTATTCTTAGCCCCAGTGTGGGGACTCTGGTCTGAGTGGGAGAATGGACTTCTCTGCCATCGATTTGAGATATTTCTGGATATTTCTAAAGGGCTGAATTGTATGTCCCTGGCTGAACTGTGAACGGGACTCATAGCTGGCTTGCAATAAATAGTTTTGGAATGGGGGATGGGTGGGTGGTTGCTGGGGTGGGGGTGGGTAGGAGGTGGCTGGGAGTTGGTTAGGATAATAAGCAGGTGAATGATGGTAGAGTGGAGACTGGGGTGAATCTGTCTTCTCCAGGATGCCTCCCTGTTTCCTGGTCACTATATGCCAACATTTCCAAAGAGATGATAGAATCATGAGTTGTATTACATATTGCCAGAAAGGGCTTTTTTTTTTTTTTTTTTTTTTAGATTTATTTATTTATGTTTACAGAACTGGGGTACAGGCCAGAGGTGCAGGGGCGGTGAGAGGATTCACCAGAGACAGAAGAGACAGAGTGGGGAGCAGAACAGGTTGACTAATGAAGTACACTGCTGAGGGGAGCAGTGGGTGGGTCAGGAGAGGTCTGCCACACCATGTGGATCAGCTCCCTGGCCAGGGATCGAACTCGTGCTGCAGTGGCTTCAGTGAGCTTCATAATGTGGTGCTTTGCACCACCAGGGAAAGCCCAAAAAAGATTTTTGCCAAGTCAAATTTTTGCTAATCTTCCAGGCTACCTGAATTTGGGGGCCCTTCTTAATGTCTCCTGTGAACTTCCAGCTTCTTCAGAGCCATTATATTCTCTTTGTGCCACAGAAAGGTGTTTGCTTCATTTGACTGATGGGAAATTAAGGCCCTGGCATGGGACAAAAGTGGCCAGAGACACTGTTGAGGTTTGATCTCAGTTAGGTTTGGGGATTTTCTGCTCTGTTTGCAAGTTTGGGCTTTTCTTACTGAGCTTCCTCAATCTCTTCTCTCATGGCTACAAAATCCAAGGGTGGTTTCAGGCAGTGTTTTTTCATCCCTGACAGCACATTAGACTTACATAGAGGTCTTCTAAAACAATTCTTTTCTTCTATTCACTCCCCAATTCATCTGCCCTGGGCTGGGGTCTTGCTTGGAAGCCTAAAGCCCTTTAGGAAATTGCAGGTTTTTTTTTTTTTTAAAGATTTATTTAGTTATGCAGACAGAACTGGGGTACAGGCCAGAGGTGCAGGGGCAGCAAGAGGATTCACCAGAGATAGAGTGGGGAGCAGAACAGGCAGATCAATGAAGTACACTGCTGAGGGGAGCAGTGGGCTGGTCAGGAGAGGTCTGCCGTGCCATGTGGGTTACCTCTGGGGTGGGGGATCCAACTCTCGCTGAAGCTGCTGTAGCTTGCTTCCAGGTGCTTGCACTTTAACCCATTGCGCCACCAGCAGGGGCCGTGATTTTAAGATTTTTAAGGAGGACCCTTCCCTGCTGTCATACTGCCAGTGTGGTGCAGGCTGATGTGGGAGGAAGCAATCTGGAGGTGGAAAAGCAGAGGTCAGGTCACGGGTGGGCGAGGTGGCTGCTAGCTCTGTGAGCATTTCACAACACTGTTCACAAGAGAGACGGGGCAGCACGGTGGTTAGAGCCTCTGCTAGTGGAGTGAACTAAGCTCAAAACTTGGGCTTATCTCTGAAGAGCTCTGTGAACAGACAAGTTATGTAATCTTTCTATGTGTCGATTTCCTCACCTGTGAAGTCAAGGTAATGATGATGTCCACCTCATAGGACTGTAACGAGGGTGACATAATATGTGGGAAGTGCTTATTAGTGAGGCATGAGATGCATCGGAAGGGCCTTGGCACTCGTTATCAGCAGGCACTGGACAGTTCTCCCTGCTAACTCAGAGCAGTCAGTACCCTGCCATTAACCCCATTAGGAAACCATGGCCCAGGGTGGTGAGTAACACAGCAAGTGACAGAGTTGGTGTTGAGCCCGGGCAATCCCGTGCTCACTTCTCTGAGGTCCCAGCTTAGGGCTGCACAGGGCCAGTGCCATAGGAGCTGGAGGCTGGATCGGGCATCCGGATTCAGAAGGATGTTTTCTGCCAGGGTTCCTCCACACAGACGTGGCTGGGTCGGTCCTGTCTGGTCCTGTCAGGAACGAGAACAATGAGAACTGTGTTTCTCTGTTCCAGTGTTGACAGGTGAGGGAGGCCAGGTGCTCGGGTCCCGGGAGCCTCCCTGGCTCCTGGGCCCGCTCTGACTGGAACAGATTGTTTTGCTGTGTCACAGCCAGCTCTGGGGGTGCCAGGTGGGCTCCCTCAGAGGACCAGCAGGATGTCTGTGTCCTGACGTGGACTTGCCTCTCTGATCTGTCAGGCTCTGGGCTTCCTCCCGGCCCCAGTCAGCCAGAAGTGGGCTGGAGCTGCCTCTGTATCGCACTGAGTCCCGGCTTCACACGTCATCTCCTGGGGGAGGCCACTGGTCCTCCCTCACCCCTCCAGTGCCTGTTGATAACGAGTGCTGTGGCCCTTCTGATGCATCTCACGCTTTTTACTAATAAGCGATTGCCCTGCCCCAGATGGGGCAGAGTAGTGTGATGAGCTGGTTGGCACTAAGCTACTCAGAGCCCTCAAATGGGGTGCTGGGGGAGGTCCCCAAAGCAAACTCTTGGAGACTGAGAAAAGGGATGCCAGGGACGTGCTCAGAGACAGGAGTTCCCTGGGAAGTGGCTTACTTTTCTGAGCTGGGAAATGAAGAGGCTACTTCCTGGCCACCTTCTCTTAGGGCTTGGGGATCTCCCCACTAGCACAATGGGGTGACAAACCCTTACGAAGGACAGTGTAAAGTTTTGTAAGAGATTATTACATTCTGCTCTCTTCTATCTTGTGCTTTCTTCTTATTCCCAATCTGAATCCTAGCATTTCCCCTACCTCCAGGCAGCCTTCCCTGCTTGCCCTTGCCCCTGGGTCCTCCCATTGTACACCCTGGCACTAGTGTGGCATCTCAGTGACCCCTCCCCTCCCCACCTGTTGTTCAGTCATGCTCATGTGTGGTCTCACCCACCCGTGAGGGACGTGGTGGTCCTTTCCTGCTCCCCACAAATTGCTCCAGTGGTAGGTACTGGGAAACCTTACATGCACTTTTTTCCTGCAGGTTCGAGAAGATGGTCAGTGGCATGTACCTGGGGGAGCTGGTTCGCCTGATCCTGGTCAAGATGGCCAAGGAGGGCCTCTTATTTGAAGGGCGAATCACCCCGGAGCTGCTCACCAGAGGGAAGTTTAACACCAGTGATGTGTCAGCTATTGAAAAGTAGGTGCCACACTTTGGGGGGGTTGGGGGGGGCATCACTGGTTCTCTCAAGTCCTGCTTTGGGGGTTTCTTCCTCAAGCACAGCAGGGCTTTCTGGATCAGTCTCCCCTCTGTCTTACTGGCCCACCCTGGGCTGGTCTTCCTGCAGGCAGCTGGTAGCAGCTCATTATAGAGCAGTCTAGTCACAGATGCTCTGTGGATGATCCCGTTGCAAAAGCAGTCTCTGCTCCCCCTCTCCTGGTCCCCACCACCTCCATGAACCCCCCAGTCCTCCCTCACACACAAGATGAAATTAGAATTCAGGGAGTAGATGGTTCTAGAGGTGAGCAAGAACCTGACCAAGCCTAGGGTCTTGATGTATTACAATCTTCTCTAGACTGTCCCAGGGAACACCTAGTGACTGTGACATAAGTAGGTGTTACCTGAAAAAAGGATTCTGGGTAATAGAATTGAGAAACTCTGCATTTGCAAGTGCTATTTAGAGAGCTACAGTATTCATTAGCATATTAAAGAAAACCCAGTTTACCCTGGTTGACTTGTCCTTTCCTAGTCTTTTGTGCTGCAAACGCCCTCTGTAGTCATCCTCTCCCGCCCTCCCCCACCCGCATGCTTGCTCTCTGTCCTGTTAACAGCCAGAAGTGTCCCTGGCACAGTTTGGAGAAACACTGGTTAACAGATGAGACAGGGCAGATAGACAGGGAAACACACAGCCCAGCCAGCGACCTTCTGCCTCTTGGCATCAGTGTGAGAACCGCAGACTTCTCTGCCTCCGGGGTTAGTTTCCGGCCTTGTTCACCCTGAGAGGAAAGAATGTGATCTTGATCCATGCAGTTTGATGTAGTTGGGTGTCTTCAAGTCTAAGGGACTTGAGTGGCTGGCTTCTGTGTGTTCTATTCTGGATCAGGGGATTCCATGTAGCCATGTAAGGCTACCCGATTAAAGATGGCTGGCGTGGGGCTAGACCTATGCGTATCTCTGCACAGGGCGGCCACTCCCACTGCCCACTGTGGCCCTGGAAATGCAGGGACAGCCGGAGCCTCAGAGTTCTGGCTCCCAGAGAAGATGTGCATGGTCAGAGAAGGAGGCTGTGGCGGTGGCAAGGGGTTGATCTGGAATTCTCTTCTGTTACACGGAGGTGCTGGTGATGCTCTAGGGTCACTCTCTTTCAGAGATTGGTGTCTAGCTGTAGTAGGCAGGGACACACTGAGTGTCCACTGACTCCTCCAGTCTCCTGGCCAGTTCCTGGGAGGGGAGGGGAGCAGGTGGCTCAGGGCTGATCTTCAAAGTCACTGACAGACAAAGTGAGGCAGCAGCCTGCTTATTTCCAGTACTGGCTTTTTGGTCGTCAAGAAACAAAGGTCTCTTGAACCAGCTCAGGACAGCATGTATATGGTATTAAACACTGTCTCAAAAAAGCTTCTGAAATATATCCTATCAGGGCAGATGTTGAAGCATTCTTTTTAAAATCTACAGCAAGGCAGTATTACCTACTTCCATTCAGTGTTTCCCTGGAGTCTTAGCCAATGTTTTTAAAAAAGAAGAAAGAAAAAAGGCCCTCCCCGGTGGCGCAGCGGGTTAAAGCACAGCACTAAGAAGCTTAAGCCACTTCCTCATGAGTTCTATCCCCGCCCCGGAGGTGACCACATGGTGTGGCAGACCTCTCCTGACCCCGCCCCCTGCTCCCCTCAGCAGTGTACTTCGTCGATCTGCCTGTTCTGCTCCCCACTCTGTCTCTGGTGAATCCTCTCATCCTCCACATCTCTGGCCTGTACCCCAGTTCTGTATGAATAAATAAATAAAATCTTTAAAAAAAAAAAAAAGAAGAAGAAAGAAAAAAGAAAAGAAAATAATTGTATGGAACATCAACTAGTATCTAGACAAGTGAATAGAATAGCAGGAAGGTTAGGAAGAAGTCTGGAGAGAAGATATAAAAAATCAATTATATTTCCGTGTATTTGCAATAATTACAATACGTATATATATATATATAATATATATTATATATATATAATATATATATATGTATATATATTTAAAGATTTACTTATTCATACAGAACTGGGGTACAGGCCAGAGATGTGGAGGGTGATAGGATTCACCAGAGACAGAGCTGGGAGAAGAACAGACAGATCGACCAAGTACACTGCTGAGCAGAGCAGCGGGCGGGTCAGGAGAGGTCTGCCGCACCATGTGGTCACCTCCGGGGCAGGCGGGGATCATTGAACTCACGCGGAAGTGGCTTTAGCTTCTTAGTGCTATGATTTAACCCGCTGCGCCACCGGGGAGGGCCAACGTATATATATTTTTAATAAAACTTGTTTTAGAGTATTTTTAGATTACAAAAACATTGCAGAAGTACTCCAGAGTGTCCCCGCATTTGTCTCATTCAGTTTTTCCCATTGTTAACATCCAACTTTACCTTGATATATTCAAGGAAAAAAGTAATACATATATATAGTTTATTAAAAAAAGATTTATTTGTATATGTATAGAAGAACTGGGTGTTAGCCAGAGATGCAGGAAGTGAGAGAGACAGAGTGGGGAGCAGAACAGGTGATTCTGTTAAATACATTGCTGAGGGGAGCAGTGGGCAAGACAGGAGAGGTCTCCTCCTCCATGTGGGTCACCTCCTTGGCTGGGAATCGAACTTGCACTGAGGCTAACTTCACAGCTGCGCTTTAACCCTTGCAGTATTTCTTAAACTGTTTCTCAGGCATTTGATTCACTTGCTCCCAGACCATGCACACGTGGCCAGTGGAGTTCTGCCTGGGCAGAGCCATCCCACCTCAGAGCTTTGCCTGACATGGCCTGTAAGTCATGCCCTCCAACTTCTACCCTCATAGGAATAAGGAAGGCCTCCACAATGCCAAAGAAATCCTGACTCGCCTGGGAGTGGAGCCATCTGACGACGACTGTGTTTCCGTCCAGCACGTGTGCACCATCGTCTCCTTCCGCTCTGCCAACCTGGTGGCTGCAACGCTGGGTGCCATCTTGAGCCGCCTTCGCGATAACAAGGGCGCAGCCAGGCTGCGGACCACGGTTGGTGTCGACGGGTCTCTTTACAAGACGCACCCACAGTGAGTCTGTCCTTCACTATAATTGGCACTCAGTACCCGTCTAGGCTCAGGACCTTCTGCAGAGGTCAGGTGTGTGCACACAGTGCAAGCAAGGCAATACTGGCCCTGCAGAAAGCTTGGATTTGCCCACGTGCGAAGGATCCCGCCCTGAGCTGATTCTCCCTGGTGATGCCTCCGCGCTGCACTGCCGTCTCATTTCCTGGGTCTCATCAGTGATTTCTATAGCTGCTAGGCATGCTGGGTGCACATCCAAGAGGTCTCACATCCTCTTGCTCGTCTGCATCTCATCAAGGACCTTGACAGTACCCACACTCTTGTTTTAAAAGCTCCTCTGACAGTCCCCCAAGCCCTCGGGACTTACTCTTTTTTTAAACATAGATGCCATTTTTTTTTTTAAAGATTTTTATTTATTCGTACAGAACTGGGGTACAGGCCAGAGATGCGGAGGGTGAGAGGGTTCACCAGAGACAGAGCGGGGAGCAGAACAGGCAGATCGACTAAGTACACTGCTGAGGGGAGCAGCGGGCGGGTCAGGAGAGGTCTGCCACGCCATGTGGTCACCTCCAGGGCAGGCGGGAATCGAACTCATGAGGAAGTGGCTTTAGTTTCTCAGTGCAGTGCTTTAACCCGCTGCGCCACCAGGGAGGGCCGGGACTTACTCTTTTAAAAGGACAAGTTGTCAAAAGAGATATGGTATAAAGAGTCCCCATGATGATGAGGGGCTCCCCGCTGGGCCCGCTCCTGGGGCGCTCTTTAGCAACCACACTTTCAGACCAGGGGTGCAGGGGCGGTGAGAGGATTCACCAGAGACAGAGTAGGGGGCAGAACAGGTGTTTAAACTTTGATTAAATGTTTCTTATTTCAGAAGTAGTATGTATTCTCGATAGAAATTTTAGCTAGTTCAAAAAATTAGAAAGAGAATGGAAGTCATTTTTTATTTTTTAAAGATTTTATTTATTCATACAGAACTGGGGTATAGGCCAGAGATGTGGAGAGTGAGAGGATTCACCAGAGACAGAGTGGGGAACAGAACAGGCAGATCGACGAAGTACACTGCTGAGGGGAGCAGCGAGAGGGTCAGGAGAGGTCTGCCACGCCATGTGGTCACCTCCGGGGCAGGCGGAGATTGAACTTAGGCGGAAGTGGCTTAAGCTTCTTAGTGCTGTGCTTTAACCCTCTGCACCACCAGGGAGGGCCATGGAAATCATTTTTAATCCCCTCCCCCCACATTTGACTTGATATCTTGGAGTCTGACTTCTATTTTTCCTCTGGCAGGCAGCCTTCCGTACTTACACAGCTCACAAACTTGGAGAGGTTATGTCTCTCTGAGTTCTCTTTTAGCTACTAAAAAATGTATTGACTCTTGGGGTCAGAGGCAAAGGGCCAGTTATAAATAAAAAAACAAGAGTAATTATTTATTGAGCCTGTCCTCAGCACTTAATGAATTCACTCCATTCTCACTGTAAACAGGAGACTGAATTTGGGCCACTTGTCACTACCAAATGCCAATAAAGTAGAGACAGGAATTAAATCTCTAAGGTGCACTTTAATCAGACATCTAGATTTTGGGAGTTAACACCCTAAAAAAACTGTCTTAACATTTCATTTCCAGCTGGCTTTTTCCTTCTTTCTTTCTTTTAAAGATTTATTATTTATGCATACAGAACTAGGGTACAGGCCAGAGGTGCAGGGGTGGTGAGAGGGTTCACCAGATTCAGAGTAGGGAGCAGAACAGGCAGATTATTGATGAAGTACACTGCTGAGAGGAACAATGGGCGAAACAGGAGAGGTCTGCTGCACCGAGTGGGCGCCTTCTGGGGTGGGGATCGAACTCACACTGAGGTAGCTACAGCCAGCTTGCAGTGCTGTGTCCTAACCGATGCGCCACCAGGGAGGGCCCACCAGCTGGCTTTTTATAGTGAGTTGGACAAAGACCATTCAGCAGCAAGCAGGCCTCCTGCTGCCAGGAGCTTGTGATGTCCAGCCCTGCTCCTTATCTCCTGCCTGGACACCTGGCCTCAAGTGAGGCCCACTGTGCTGCGGCGGCCCACCCTGCTCCCGACACTCCTCCAGATGTGGCTTTGGGCTGGAAAATTAACTCCGAACAGACAGGCCACAAATAGTATGTGTGCGTCCATCTCCTGTATACCACGCATAGTGTCTTCCCTGGTCCCCTCCCCAGCCTGTCACCACTATGTCACCGTTAGCTAGACACTGTCATCCTCACTTACCCCAAGGTTGAATGACAACCAGCTCTAGATGTGAAGTCATGGTGCTCACCTTGTGTCCTCATCTGTCTGACTTTCAGCCACTGGGCTTAGTCACTATGCTGTGTCGCCTTGTGTTCATGGTGGAGGACAGAATTGTTTTTTGGACCCTAAAACTATATCCAATACTCATCTAATATGTGATTATGGGCGGTTTTCGGTTTTCATTTTTCCTTTTTACGTGTCTGCACTTGCTACCTTCCCTGGAGTGGATCGTGGGATTTGTGTAATAAGGGAAGCAAGTACAGAAAATGGAATTAAAGTGTGGTGAAAGGAAGGGGTGCAGAGGTCCCCGGCAGGGGGCTCGGTCCAACTACTATGGATTGGCTGTCTCCTGCCCCACAGGTATTCCCGGCGTTTCCACAAGACTCTGAGGCGTTTGGTGCCCGACTCGGACGTGCGTTTCCTCCTCTCAGAGAGTGGCAGCGGCAAGGGGGCCGCCATGGTGACCGCAGTCGCCTACCGTCTGGCTGAGCAACACCGGCAGATAGAGGAGACCCTGGCTCACTTCCGCCTCACCAAGGACATGCTGTTGGAGGTGAAGAAGAGGATGCGGGCCGAGATGGAGTTGGGGCTGAATAAGAAGACTCATGATAAGGCCGTGGTCAAGATGCTGCCCTCCTTCGTCCGGAGCACTCCGGATGGAACAGGTGAGGGCCTCTGCTGGGGGCCGACATGTCTCTTACCTCCCGTGACTGAGCACAGTGCAGCTGTGGAGCTGTGTTCTCACTGGGATTACATGTTTTTATTGTCACTTATTATTACTATTATTTAATTCATTTATTTATGCATACAAGAACTGGGGTACAGGCCAGAGGTGCAGGGGTGAGAGGGTTCACCAGACAGAGTGGGGAGCAGGACAGGCAGGTTGATAAAGTACACTGCTGAGGGGAGCAGCGGGCAGGTCAGGAGAGGTCTGTTGCGCCATGTGGGTCACCTCCCTGGCTGGGGATTGAACTCATGCTGAAGTGGCTGTGGAGAGCTTTATAGTGCTGTGCTTATTAACCCGTTGCACCACCAGGGAGGCCCTATTATTTTTTTTTTTTCAACCATTTCCATTTTTACTGCTAATTTGCCATGTGTATGTCTCAGAGAAGTTGACTTTCCCTGATCAGGCTTCCTGGCAACTGCCTTCTCTACAAAGCATAGCCCTGCTCTGAATTAAGAAGTGTTCTTACAGGAATACCCAATGCACCCTCCCCAAATCCTGTGCATGAGGCAGGCAGAGGCTGGGATTTTATTCCCCAAGCAGATTGGAGAACAGAATCCAACCCTTAATGCTGACCTTGTGGGTCTGCATTGGAGCTGAACACTATGGGGACCCTGAAGGGCTTCCTGGGGGTCCTTGGAGTAATGAATTTGTGTGATGTAAATCTTTTAATCCTACTTAAAAGTTACTTGTTACTGTATTACATGGTTGCATTATAAACCACTCTCAAACTGAGTGGCTTAGAATAGGAACTTTTTCTATTCTGCTCTAATACTGCTCCTGGTTCTGTGGGTCAGCAATTTAATATTGCTCATTTGGGTCAGGCTTATCTGATCTGTGCTGGACTCATTCATTGGCTGTAGTTGTGGGGGGCTGGCCGTCAGCTGGAGTGCAGGGGTGCTAGGTCACATGCCTCACTGGGCCACTGGACTTGTTTCCATGGTAGCAGCAGGGACCATGAGGGACTGGGAAGCCCTCTTAGAGGGCTAGGCTGAGACTGACTAGTTTGTTTCTGCCATATTTTGTTGTCACAGGTAGGCCAGATCCAAGGGAAGGAAATATAGACTCCATCTTTTTATTTAATACTTACAGAACTGGGGTACAGGCCAGAGGTGTGGTGGGTGAGAGTATTCACCAGAGACAGAGTGGGGAGCAGAACAGGCAGATTGACGAAGTACACTGCTGAGGGGAGCAG